CCTCTACCCTGGATCCAGAGGTGGCACGAGCATCTCTCCCAGCAAGGTGACCATGCGGGGGTGGACAAGAAACCAGAGACTAGATGTATATCCTTCAGGCTCAGGTCAGTGCCTCCAGCTCTCTGAGAATCAGCCTTGCCAAAGAAATGGGTGCTTTCCACCATAACTGTAGAAAGTGGCCACAAAAAGACCTTCAACCTCCACTTCACTTTGCTACTTCTCTGATATTGCTCCAGTTCTTTAACATCTTCACCCACTTATGGAGTCTTCAAATCTCCTGAAGCTTGTTCTTGGAAAAGGAGAAAGGATGGGATGGGCCCAGATGCTGGCCTTCGTGGCACTGCCTTTGGATACAATGTAGGAACCCTGATTTAACTTTTGTGGAAGCACTGAGAAAAGGCACACACCACAGAGCCCCAGACTTCTGACTACATGAGCATCAGTGACCACAGTACAGCCCATCCTAAGACCAGACAGACTTGAGCCATGACTGTGCCCTGCTGGATAATGGACAGGGACCATGAGCTGCAGGTCAGTTTAGGACACGTGGTTTTGGTTAACAATCCATCAGGTTCCACAGGAACTGCTGCCCCTGGAGACCTGGGGCACTGCCTGCATCTCCAGGGCACTATCTCAGTTGTTACCCTCTTTGTCTCCAGACTTCACTTATGCCCCTCCTTGGAGACAATGAAGTTAATAGGGGGACCCAGATGAGAGGCCAGTGACACTTATGGACCAAGGAGAGAAAAGTGGCCCCTCTCAGCCCTCATTCTTAAGCAAACCAAGCACTGGGTGACCATAGGCAGAGCACATGAGGCTTTTGTGGGCATTGGGGAATGCATCAGTGGATGGAAGATCTGTGTCTCTCCCTCACTGTCACTCTTTTGAATAAATCTTTTTTAAAAGAAGACTTTTAGCCACTCATATTTTGAGGTGCCATGTAGGAAATGGTCTGTTACTGGGTTGTAATCACTGCCTCTGGCATAACCTGGATGAGTTAGGAACAATCAGTATAAGAATTAGAAAATGGCAACACTAATGAGAACATTTTCGGGCATTGTGGTTTCCTTACAGATTTACAAATACAAGGCTGTCTTTGAACTGGATCCAAGCTCCTGCACTATAAATTGAATGTTTACCTTAACTTTATAATCTTCAAAATGTAGGTGATTCTAATTATCCTTCCAAAGACTAACAAACGTACACAGGGTGCTTCTATTTTCATCATTTCCCTGTGCCTGTCTTGTACAAGAAAAAGTAACTAATGGGGACCAGCGCCGTGGCTCACTTGGTGAATCCTCCGCCTACGGCGCCAGCATCCCATATGGGCACCAGGTTCTAGTCCCGGCTGCTCCTCTTGCAGTCCAGCTCTCTGCTGTGGCTTAGGAAGGCAGAGGAGGATGGCCCAGGTGCTTGGGCCCTGCACCTGCATGGGAGACCAGGAGGAAGCACCTGGCTCCTGGCTTCAGATCAGTGCAGCGCCGGCTGTAGTGGCCATTTGGGGGGGGGGGTGAACCAACGGAAGGAAGACCTTTCTCTCTGTCTCTCTCTCTCTGTCTATACCTCTACCTGTCAAATAAAAAAAAGAAAAAGTAACTAATGGTAAGCATGAACAAAGTGGACTTTGGAAATGCTAGGAGAATCAAACTCACACCTGCTGAAGGTCGAACCATAGGCTGTTCTAACAGACTTGGATGAACTGAAATCAGTATTGCTGGCCTTCAACCTCTCTCAGGTAATTAACTGCAATCAGAATAGTTAGTGCTATTTAGGACTATTAATCTCAGTTGTTAATATTGGCTTTGGCTGCCTGTGCCTCTGGGGTCTTTTCCAAGAAGTCTTTGCCTATCTCAATATCTTGCAAGGTTTCTTCAATGTTCTCTAATAATTCGATGGTGTCAGGTTGTAGATTTAGATCTTTAATTCATGTTGAGTGGATTTTTATGTAGGGTGTAAGGTAGGGATCTCGCTACATACTTCCACATGTGGAAATCAGTTTTCCCAGCACCATTCGTTGAGTAGACTATCCTTGCTATAGGAATTGGTTTTAGCTCCTTGATCAAATATAAGTTGGTTTTAGATGTGTGGGTTGATTTCTGGAGTGTCTATTCTGTTCCATTTTCTATCCATCCATTTTTGTGCCAATATCAGGCTGTTTTGATTACAGCTTCCCTGTAGTGTGTCTTGAAATCAGGTATTTGATGCCTCCCGCTTTGTGCTCTATGAGTGCTTTAGCTATTTGGGTCTCCTGTTTCTGTATGACTTTCAGTGTAATTTTTTTTATATCTGAGAAGAATTTTTGTGGTATTTTGATTGGTATTGCATTGGATCTGTAAATTGTTTTGGTAGTATGGACATTTTGATGATATTGATTCTTCGACTCCAACATGGACAATTTTTTCCATTTTTTGTCTTCTTCTATTCCTTTTTAAAATTATTTTGTAGGCTGGCGCCATGGCTCACTAGGCTAATCCTCCACCTTGCGGCACCGGCACACCAGGTTCTAGTCCTGGTCGGGGCTTTGGATTCTGTCCCAGTTGCCCCTCTTCCAGGCCAGCTCTCTGCTATGGCCCGCGAGTGCAGTGGAGGATGGCCCAAGTGCTTGGGCCTTGCACCCCATGGGAGACCAGGATAAGTACCTGGCTCCTGCCATCGGATCAGCACGGTGCGCCGGCCACCGCGCGCCGGCCGCGGCGGCCATTGGAGGGTGAACCAATGGCAAAGGAAGACCTTTCTCTCTGTCTCTCTCTCTCTCACTGTCCACTCTGCCTGTCAAAAAAATTATTTTGTAATTATCATAGAGATCTTTGAAATCCTTATTCCAAGATTTTTAATTTTTTGTAGCTATTGTGAATGGGATTGATCTTAGGAGTTCCTTCTCAGCCATGGCATTGTCTATGCATACAAAAGCTATTGATTTTTGTGTATTAATTTTATATTCTGGCACTTTTACCAAACTCTTTTATAAGTTCCAATAGTCGATTAATGGTGTTCTTTGGATCCTCTATATATAGAATCATGCCATCTGCAAATAGGGATAGTTTGACTTCCTACTTCCCAATTTGTATCCCTTTGATTTCTTTTTCTTGCCTGATGTCTCTGAAAATTTATTTATTTGAAATAATTATGGTGGGGCAGGGAGAGACACTGAGAGAGAGTATTCTTCCATCGACTGGTTCTCCCCAAATGGCCACAACAGCCACGGCTGGTCCAGAAGGAAGCCTGGAGCCAGGAGCTTCTTCAAGGTCTCCCACATGGTTTCAGGGGCCAAAGGACATGACGCATCTTCTGCTGCTTTCCCAGGACATCAACAGGGTGTTGGAGGGGAAGTGGAGCAACTGGCATTCAAACCAGCACCCATATGGGATGCTGGCCTTGCAGGTGGCAGCTATATCCACTATGACACAATGCCTGCCTTCTCTCTATTTAATTAAATCTCCAACCATGTCAAATCTAGACTAAATGCTGGAAAGGATTAGAGCTTTATCTGATTGACTCATAGCTGTATACTGACAGAATAAAAATGCTTGGCATGTGGTGTAGAGCCAATATTTTTTAATGAACTGAGTAGGCTGCCCTCCAAAGGAAAGGCTACATATTTCTCAAGTCACTAATCAGTAACTGCTACCTCTGTAGATAACTACATTGACAATATTTTAAATAAATTCATGTTTTCTAGGATACAAAAACATAGAATGTAATATGAAGGATAACTGAGCCTGAAAATACATGAAATCAGTGTTAAAGGCATTAGATAATATAACTGCAATGCACTGTAAATAATTTTTAAAGCAAATGAAGATTTAAAATATAAAATATCAAAATGCTAGGAGTAAATGGTACTAAAATGATGACAATGATTTAAAATAGTGCACACAATTTCTGTAATTTCAAAGATAATTTTTTTAGGGTTCTACAATTTTCTGCAGTCTGCATCTTATATAATATTCTAAATATAAAAGCAAACATTTTCAATTGAATGAAACAGAGAATTGCAACTGAATATCAATGGAAATTCCTCTCTCTTACATGGTGCTACAATTCCTCTCTCTTACATGGTGCTTACAGATATGGTATGAAGAGCAATATTTTAGAAATAAAAAATTACATTATACTCAATCAATATTAATACATATTTATTCTTCAGTTGAACAATCTGGAGCCCCACAAGAGCAAATCGCCATGTAGAGAGGAATAATAAATGACATATCTCCATACACCTAAAACAAAGACATACTGAATTGAACACCACAGGCTCCACTTTAGACACAGAACATTTTTATCAATGTTTCTTACCAGCTGATTAGAAAAAATGATTTTGTGATTATGATTTATGACATTTATACACATATTAAACTATTAGTTTGGAGCTAGTGTTATGGAATAGTGGGTAAAGCTGCTGCCTGTGATGCTGGCATCCAATATGTCCTAGCTGTTCCATTTTTCATCCAGCTCCATGGTAATGGCCTGAGGAAAGCAGCAGAAGGTAGTCCAAGTACCTGGGTTCCTGCCACCCATTTGGGAGACTCAGAAGAAGCCATCTGGGGAGGTAAATATCTGATCTCTCTATCTCTACTTCTTTCTGTGTAGTTTTGACTTTCAAATAAATCATCTTGAAAATAGATAAAATATCAGCTAGTGCCGTGGCTCAATAGGCTAATCCTCCGCCTGTGGCACTGGCACACTGGGTTCTAGTCCTGGTCGGGATTAGATTCTGTCCCGGTTGCCCCTCTTCCAGTCCAACTCTCTGCTGTGGCCCGGGAAGGCAGTGGAGGATGGCCCAAGTGCTTGGGCCCTGCACCCTCATGGGAGACCAGAAGAAGCACCTGGCTCCTGGCTTTGGATCAGCACGGTGCGCCGGCCGCAGTGTGCTGGCCGCAGCGGCCATTGGGGGGGTGAACCAACGGAAAAAGGAAGACCTTTCTCTCTGTCTCTCTCACTGTCCACTCTGCATGTCAAAAAAATAGATAAAATATCAATTCAAGAAATATTATAAAATCATCATACAATTTAAATTTTGTTGGGAAATGTTTTATTCATACTCACAATTTTTGAAGTTCTTTTATGTAAGTCCATTTCATAAGAAATACATTAAAATCACCCCTATGTTTCCTAAGGGCAGAGAACTATGATAAACCTACTAACTCAAATGGTATCCTTATGTCATTTGTTTCCTAATTGTCTGCATGCTGAAATACACTTGGTGAACAGTGATCACTTATCCCCACTCTTGTAAACTGCAGCATAATCCTAAAAGACAGGAAATACACAGTAAAAATTCAAATGTATATTACCTAAGCAGGCACTTACTCTGTTACATGCTATTTACTTACTAAATAAAAAGGGCACTGGATATCAGTGATTAAAAAATGTAAAAAAATCAAATGTTAATCCTTTCTCTGGAAAAAAGTTAAAAAGACATTTAGTTTAGAGCATTTGCCATTAAAAAAGGACATCTTGTTTTATTCAAACAAAACATGATGCATGATCTAATAAAGGTAATACACTGAATTTACAAAAGTGTCTTCCAGATAGAAATGTTAAAAATCATGAACAGTTGATTCAGACTTTATTGACTTAATATGTGTAAAAAATTTAATACTTAAGTTTAGTAAATTCATTGTGCCCTTGCACTCAAATGGGAGATCCAGAAGAAGCTCCTGGCTCCTGGCTTTGGATCAGCGAGCGCAGCTCTGGCCAATGTGGCCATCTTGGGGGTGAACCAGCTGGTGGAAGACCTCTCTCTCTGTCTCTCCCTCTCACTATCTTAATTCTACCTCTCAAATAAATAAATAAAATCTTTTAAAAGATAAATAAATTCATTGTGTACATGCTGGCACCATTATGAACCAAAGAAAAATCTTATCTTGTGAAAAAACAGTATTTATCATCTGACCTTAACATTTATCCAAATAACAACGTAAGTCCATTCTGTAAGAGACAACAAAAATTTCTGACTATTATGACTTGAAATTCGTTCCCACAGAAGAATTACAGCCATTAACCATTTCAGCAGTAGGAAAAACTTCAAGTCCCTATGTAAAATGCACTCATTCTTTTTTTAAGATTTATTTTTTATTTGAAAGTCAGAGGTACACAGAGAGAGGATATATATATATATATATATATATAGAGAGAGAGAGAGAGAGAGAGAGAGAGACAGGTCTTCCCTTCGATGGTTCACTCCCCAGTTGGCTGCAACAGCCGGAGCTGTGCCGATCCGAAGCCAGGAGCAGCCGGGTCTTGAACCAGCACCCACATGGGATGCCGGCGCTTCAGGCCAGAGTGTTAACCATTGCTCCACAGCAGCGGCCCTAGTGCACTCACTCGAAATGAAAATATTACTGTATCAATTTGAATTTTTAAATTATCTTGATATATTTTTGATCTGAATAATTGCACAGCAGCCTCAGAGATGGTTGGGAAGATAAGAAACATAAAAATACACCCCACAGTAAAAGGTGCTTAGATTTTTTAAGTTTAATTTGTAGTTGTATGGGGAAAGGCAGAGAAAAAGTCTTAACAATTGCAAAATCCAAAGCATGTTTTAGAAATATGAAAATGGTTAACCATGAAGACATCTTAGTTGTGAGTCCAAATGCAAGTAACAACTACATTAACAACAAAAATATTTGCAAAGCTAATTTCAATGTTTTAGTGACAAATAGCTACTTATTTTTAATGTGGTGGGTGTGAAAGCTACTGCTTACAAATATATTTTTCCCAGACAAACAGCATCATCCCCTCTCCATATAAAGTTGAGACTTATATTGAATTTGACGTAAAGCTGTCTTGAGAAATAGAAGCATAATTATGCGCTACACCTTATGGTACACTAATTTACACATATTCTTTTTAATAACATAGGAGTGGATGTCCTTCAATGCTGAAAAGAATTCAGAGCAACACTATTTTTAGCCACTTAACTTTATAAGACTGCTTAGCTAAATAGGGAAATAAATATGAATTTTAAAATAAAAGACACATCTTAAAATTTATTTAAAATAGAATACCCAGGCTGGCGCTGTGGTGTAGTGGGTTAAGCCTCTGCCTGTAGCACCAGTATCCCATATGGGTGCTGTTTCAAGTCTCAGCTGCTCCTCTTCTGATCCAAATCCCTGATGTCCTTAGAAAGCAGTGGAAGTGCTTGGGTCCCTGCACCCATAGAGTAGACCTGGAGGAAGCTCCTAGCTCCTGGCTTCAGATCAGCCCATTTGGGGAGTGAACTAGTGGATGGATGATATTTCTGCCTCTCCCTCTCTCTGTCTGTAACTCTGCTTCTTAAATAAATAAATCTTGGGCTGGCGCCATGGCTCATTAGGCTAATCCTCCACCTGTGGCACCTGCACCCCAGGTTCTAGTCCTGGTTGGGGAACCGGTTCTGTCCCGGTTGCTCCTCTTCCAGTCCAGCTCTCTGCTGTGGCCCAAGAAGGCAGTGAAGGATGGCCCAAGTGCTTGGGCCCTGCACTCACATGGGAGACCAGGAGGAAGCACCTGGCTCCTGCCTTCGGATCGGCACAGTGTGCTGGCCGTAGCAGCCATTTGGGGGGTGAACCAACGGAAGGAAGACCTTTCTCTCTCTCTCTCTCTCTCTCTCTCTCTCTCACTGTCTAACTCTGCCTGTCAAATAAATAAATAAATAAATAAATAAATATTTTAAAACAGAAATAAAAGAAAGCTCCAATAATTCACTTTTTTGAAACTGCAGTTGGAAAAAAGTTATTATTACAGTTTAGGATACTTTTCACAAATTGTAGTACATAAAATTCTAATTTTCCTATGAATTAAGGATTTTTAAATACTTTGATTATTGCAAATAAATTTTCATAAACCCAGTAATAATATTTATTGCCTTTTATTTTTATGATTTTTGTTGCTATACATCTCAATTATCTTTTCCTGAGATATATCTATAAATGAGCATTAAAGGGAAAATTTGCTTTAGAGATGCAAACAATTATTAATTTCACTAAAAACATATATTGATATGCTGGTCTGACTTTAATATAATTTACTAGAACCTCTTCCAATTTCAGTTCTTTCATGCATAGCAATAGTAAGGACAAAAACCTGTGATGTCTAGATTTTGGTAGGTGTTCTAATAACATAATCGCACAGGTATGGCTCAATGTCAAGGTTCAGTGGACATGACAAACTGACTATAGAAGCTAAACTTTTTTTCAATTTTTATTAATACAAAGAAGACATATTTCATGGATTTCATAGGTACAATTCTAAGAACATAACGACATTTCCCTGCCCCATTTTCTGCCTCCTTCAATCATTTTCCTTTCTTTTTTGTTTTAGTTTTCACTCTATAATCACAGGCTTAATGGACCACTAACTATAACGTTCTACAAGTAAAATAGTAGAAATACCACAAGTCCACAAGAGTATAAACAAGAGCTAAAAACAATAATCAAATGATAAGATATGCATCTCATTCCTGTACATATTTTGTATTCTGTATTAACGAGTAGTAGTCCACGGGTAAAATTTGCACATTTTCTTTACCTAGTCATAAGTTGATGGACATGTGGGTTGATTCCATATCTTAGCTATTTTGAATTGAGCTGTAATAAACGTAGGGGAACAAATAACTTTCATTTCATTTGGGTAAATTCCCATGAGTAGGATGGCTGTGTCATATGGTAGATCTATTTTCAGATCTCTGAGGAATTGCCAAGATGTCTTCCATAATGAATGTACTAGTCTACATTCCCACCAACAGTGTATTGGTATAACCCCCCACATTCTCATCAGCATTTTAAATTTTTTTTTTTTTACTTTTGGATGATAGCAATTCTAACTGGGTTGAGATGAAACCTCACTGTGGTTTTTATTTGTGTCTCCCTAATGGCTAGTGATCCAGTGCATTTTTTATGCCTGTTGGCCATCTGTATTTCATCCTTAGAAAAATTTTTATTCATGTTTTTGCCCATTTCTTTTTTTATTATTTTTGTTGCTATTTGTTTATTTGTACTTTTTAGTAAACCACAAAATCTGAACAGATGAAGAAATATAAAGAGCAAGGACATTTTTGAATTAAAAGTATTTACAAATCAGTATGAGTAGAAAATAGTCCAAAATATATTGTAGCTAATGCATTCACTATTTAGAGGACAATTTATTGTCTATGTCTTGATTTTACCCCTTGTTTGTTATAAACATTATGAATAATCTTAGAATATCTGACAAAATTGATTTCAGCTTTTTTAAAAAATTCAATTTAAATTATATGTTTCATATATTTCTTATATGCAGTTTTAAGAACATAGTGATACTTCACCCCTACCCTCCCTCCCACCCAAATTCCAACCCTTCTTCCTCCTCCATTTCACATCTTCATTCTTAATTTTTACAAAGATCTATTTTCAGTTTACTTAATGATTGTATAGTTAACCCTACACTAAGTAAGAGTTCAATAAATAGTATTCGGAAAGAAAAACTCAGCTCCTCAACAGAAGAGACAAGGGCTGTAAACAATCATTAAATCTCAAAATGTCCATTTCACTGTTAGACATTCTAGATACTCTATTAGTTATTTCGAATCAGGGAAAATGTTTGATATCTGTATTTTGGTGGCTGGCTTATTTCACTAAGTATAATGGTTTCGGTTGTCTCCAGCTTGTTGCAAAAGACAGGATTTCATTTTCTTTACAGCTGAGTAGTACTCCATAGTGTATACATACCATAATTTTTTTTAAATTTTTTTGACAGGCAGAGTGGACAGTGAGAGAGAGACAGCAAGAACAGTCTTCCTTTTGCCGTTAGTTCACCCTCCAATGGCCTCCGCGGCTGGTGCGCTGCAGCCAGCTCATCGCGCTGATCTGAAGCCAAGAGCCAGGTGCTTTTCCTGGTCTCCCATGCAGGTGCAGGACCCAAGCACTTAGGCCATCCTCCACTGCACTCCCTGGCCACAGCAGAGAGCTGGCCTGGAAGAGGGACAACCGGGACAGAATCCGGCGCCCCGACTGGGACTAGAACCCGGTGTGCTGGCGCCGCAGGCAGAGGATTAGCCTATTGAGCCGCAGCTCCAGCCTACCATGATTTCTTTATCCAGTCAACAGCTGATGGACATCTGGGTTGATTCCGTATCTTAGCTATTGTGAATTGTGCTGCAATGAACATGGGGGTACAGATAACTCAGATATGGATATCTTTTGGTTTCAGTAAGTTCCCAGAAATGGGATGGCTACATCATATGGTAGGTCTATATTCAAATTTCTGAGGCTATCTCTGTACTGTCTTCCACAGTGGCTGCACCAGTATATATTCATACCAGAAGTGGGTTAGGGTACCTTTTTCCCCACAGCCTCATCAGAATTTGTTGTTTGTTAGTATCTTTATGAGAGCCATTCAAACTGGAGTGAGGTGAAACCTCATTGTGGTTTTGATTTGCATTTCCCTGATGGCTAGTGATTCTCAGCATTCTTTCAAGTATCTGTTGGGAATTTGAATTTCCTGTCTTGAAAAACACCTCTTCAAGTCCTTTGCCCATTTCTTGACTGGATTATTTGTTTTGTTGTTGTTGAGTTTCTTAAACTCTTTATAGAATCTAGATATTACTCCTTTATCAGTTGCATAATTCAAAAATATTTTATCCCATTCTGTCTGTTTCTCTTCTGTTTGTTGACTGTTTCCTTTGCCAGGCAGAAGCTTCTTAGCTTGTTGTCCCATTTATCTATTTTGGCTTTTATTTGCTGTGCTTCTGAGGTCTGTTCCAAAAAGTCTTTACCTATGTCAATGTGTTGCAGGATTTCCCTGATGTTTTGCTTAAATAATTTGATATAAGGTCATAGACTTAGATCCTTGATCTATTTTGAGTTTATTTTTGTATAAGCTATAAGGTAGGTGTCTTGTTTCATACTTCTACATACAGAGATCCAGTTTGTCCAACACCATTCGTTGAAGAGACTGTCCTTTCTCCAAGAATTGATTTTAGCTCATTATGGTAATCACTGTTTTTGTAACATCTCAGCTACAAATATGTAGAAACATATACCCTTGTGCTAACATTTACTTTATACCTGTTTAACATCACTCTATTATTCACTATAGAAGCTTAGAATACACAGCTTTAATATACATGGGGAATTTCAATAAAAGCGCTTTAAAGCTACAAGACATGTTTTTTAAAACCCACCCCAAGCCCTTCACTTTTTCTAAGATTGATTTATTCATGTATTAGTAAGGCAGAGTTACAGAGAAAGAGAGGGAGAGACGGAGAGAGGGAAATACCATCTGCTGTTTCATTCCCTGAATGGACACAATGGCCCAGGCTGGGCCAGGCCAAAGTCAGGAGCCTGGAACTCCATTGTGGTCTCCCAATGGGGGCAGGGGCCCACATATTTGGGCCACCTTCCGCTGCTTTTCCAGGCATGTTAGCAGGGAGCCGGATCAGAAGTGGAGCAACCGGGTCTGAAACCGGCCTTGTATGGGATGCTGGTGTTGCAGGGTGTGGCTTAATCTGCTGTGCCACAACACATATTTGCAAGCTTCTTATGTAATTGGCAGTTTTAATATACTGTGATTTAAATCTTTATTTAAAGAATGACTTAAAGTCAAGCTCTAGTTCCATTATTTAGTTATATGGTTGTTTCTGAGGTTATTATTTAAAAGCATATTAATGGATAAAAATGTAAAACACAAACATCCACAGCCTCAGAGTTTGGGTCCTTATGAACCAGAGATTATGACTAATCCAATTTAGTGAATCTAAATTCCATTCATAAGAAAATTTTATTGATTTTTAATTGAATCATCATTTCAAAGGAAAATAATCAAATAATTTTATAATTATTAACTATCCCATATTAAAAGCACTTTTAATTATTATCACCTTTATAGCTTCCTTGGTAGTGCTGGTTTTGTTTCTCATATCTGTCAGAATGAATATGAAACACATATCACAAACAGCAGTTATTATCAAAGAATGAGTTCTTGACAATGAAGGCCTTATTCCAACAACACAAGGGTGATTAAAGATGCGATATTCTCAAACAATTCATTCTAGCAGAAAAATGTAGAAGAAAAAATCATAGTTATATAAATGAATGCTAACATTTAGCAAATTTAATATCCACTGCTGTTTATACATATATGTTATTACTATATAAAACTAAATAAATAAAATAATATTTGAATGTTTCCAATGTGATAAAATTATTTATCCTCATCTACCAAAACTTAACCTCAAATTTAAAGAAAAATTAAGGAAGTGTTTCTTTTACAATATAAGAAATGTCCAGGATGTTTATTCTATCACAATGTTTTTAATCATTATTGTATATAGTATTGTTCTAGAATTACTAACAAATGCAAATATAGAAAAAATTAAAGTCATAATCATTTGAGTAGGTCAAGATAAAAATTATTACTCTTTATAAATAATGCTTGCATTGGGAAAATAAACTGAAAATTAATAAAAACAATAAAACTTGAAGTGGTGATTATATATAAATTAGCAAATGCAAAATAGCTTTAAAAGACCATAACCAGGTAGAAAATGTAAATGGAAAAATGATCCCATTTACAAATGTAAGCAAAAATAGAATTAAAACACAGAAATATCCAAGAACACATGATTTTTATAAAGAAATCCTGGAAACATTCCTAAAATGCACATCTACATTCCCAGAGATCAAAGCAATAAAAGATATCAACATTTAAACTCTACTTAATCTGCATAACCATAAAGTTAATTATAAAGTGCACAGAAAAATCAACAAAAATTAATAAGGTGAGACTTAACATTCCCATTCTATCAGACATTAAAAATGTTTTGGAATCAAATATATATTTGTGGGTGGGAGGGACGGTATGGGGGGGAAGCCATTGTAATCCATAAGTCGTACTTTGGAAAATTATATGCATTAAATAAAAGTTTAAAAAAAAAGAGATTCTAATATTTGATAATATGATTTTAAATCTGTGGAAAAAGAACTATGAGTAGATGATGTTAGCCTGATTAAATAGCGATGGGGTGGGGAGAGTAGTATTCATACTTAATACCTGATGCCAAGATAAATTCCAAATGCATCAATGAACAAAATGCACAAAATGGAAAAACCCTTAAATAACTGATGGCTAGGGAAGGCGTTTCCAATCAAAACTCAAAGATTTGCATTACATACAGTATGCTTTCAAAGCTGTCCAGTGTCTTTCCCAGGCAGAAATCAGAAGACAAATAGATGAATTGACAAATTATTTGAAATTTGAAAAAATGAACAAAGGACCTGAAGAGTTCACAGAAATCATGGGTCCAGCATTGTGGCATAGCTGGTAAAGCCACCACCTGCAATGCCAGCATCACAAATGGGCACTAATTTGTGTCTCAGCTACTCCATTTCTGATCCATCATCCTGCCAATGGCCTGGGAAAAGCAATGGAAGATGGCCCAAGTACTCGGACCACTGCCACCAATGTGGGAGACCTGGATGAAGACCTGGCCTGGCCCAGACCAGGTCTTCGCACCCATCTAGGGGGAGTGAATCAGTTGATGACAGATTTCTCCTCCTCCTCTCTTTCTGTAAATGACTTTTGAATAAACAGGAGCTGGCATTTTGGTACAGGTTAAGCCACTTCCTGAAGAGCCAGCATCCCATATGGGTGTCAGTTCCAGCTCTGTGCTAATGTGCCTGGGAAAACAGTGGAGTTTGGCCCAATTCCTTGGACCCTTGCACCCACGTAGGTTACCCAGAAGAAGCTACGGCTCGTGGCTTTGACCTGACCTAGACCTTGTTGTTTCAGCCATTTGGGGAGTGAACCAGAAGGTAGAAGGTATTTCTCTGTCTCTCCTCTTTCTCTGTAGCTCTGCCTTTCAAATAAATTAATCTTTAACAAACAAAAAAAGAAATTGTTGTATATAAACACTATAGAATGCTACTAGGTTGGGAAGGCAGTGGAGGATGGCCCAAGTGCTTGGGCCCTGCACCCCATGGGAGACCAGGAGAAGCACCTGGCTCCTGCCTTTGGATCAGCGCGGTGCGCCGGCCACAGCGCGCCAGCCGTGGAGGCCATTGGAGAGTGAACCAACGGCAAAAAGGAAGACCTTTCTCTCTGTCTCTCTCTCTCACTATCCACTCTGCCTGTCCAAAAAAAAAAAAAAAAAAAAGAATGCTACTAGACCATAAAAAACTAAAATCCTGTTTTCACAACTAAATGGATGCAACTGGAAATCATTATACTAGTGAAATAAGCCAGTCCCCAAAAGACAAAGATTATATGTTTTCGTTAATAAGTGATAACTAATAGAGGGCAAAAATGCAATGTATATGAGCAAAATTGACATTTTTGAGAATTATTGCTTGCAGCACTTGTGTATACTGTTAAAGAACAGTCTTTTTTCTCTTCTATTTATAGAATTCTTTACTTAGTGTGGTTGCAGGTAAGCTTATGATTGCAAAATAAACAAAACATGCAATTGTAAAAATTAAAAGAAAATATAAGAAAGGAAGGAGAGTGGGAGAATGGGCAACATGGAGAATAGGATGCGAATTATCACTAAGTCCTTAAATCTGTATATATGAAATATATGAAATGTGTTTAGCATAAAGAAACAAGAAAATAAATAAGCTTTTTTTTTTTAAAAAAAGAGTTCACAGAAATCAAATGCATATGCAGCAGGAGCATATACCCTTCTCCTTTAAATGGGGCATACAAAGTTGTCACCAACATCTCGCTGCAGAGAAAAACTGCCCCTGGTTTACACTGCTCTGTGTTGGTGAGACTGCCAGTGTCCGTTCAGATAACAAATGGGCATAAACCCAGGCATTCTCCTGTATGAACTTAACCCACAGATAGGCGACCACATTGGGAGAATGAGTTACTCACTGAAACATTATTTTTAATACTAGAAAACTTGAAGCAGTCAAGCGACTTATCCCAGGAACTGGCTAAATTGTGGTATTATACTGTGCTGCCATGGATGACGCTCCATAAGTTAATATAGGTCAAAGGGGGGAAGCAAGATGCAGAACAGCGTTTAATGTAGGTCTGGTGATAAAAGAACTCACATTTGTAATATTTGTCTCTTTAAAATATCCGTGGAAGGATATTTTGGAGAGCAAAATAACAATAATCCAGTCTGCCCTGTGAGGGCATGCTACTTACCATACATTGCTATGGATTATTAGGAGTTTGAACCAGAAAAGTATGCATCTTCTCAAAAATTAGTGTTTTAAGAAAGCATCAAGAATATACCCAGGGCAGGTGTGCTATGGGAGCTTAAGCCATTATGTGAAATGGCCTCTCTCTCTCTCCTCTCTTTCTCTCTCTCTCTCTCTCTCTCTCTCTCTCTCTCTCTCTCTCTCTCTCTCGTGTGTGTGTGTGTGTGTACAGAGAGAGAGAGAAAGAGAAAGAGAGAGAGGTGTGAGGGAGAGACTCTACACTTCAAATAAGCAAAAATGAACAAAAGCCACTGTCTCCCACCCTTGGTGCCAACTCACCCTCTCATCACCTTCTCTTGCCTACCCTGCAGTGAGCACCCCCTTCCTGGCCACCCAAAGTCCTATCTCCTACCCCTTTCCTGCCTCTCATCAATCTGCTTTCCTGCAAAGCCCAGGGACAGAAATGGTAGGTGGAGACCGGTGTAGTACGCAAATAGGAACAGAGTTTATTTGGCAGTGAAGGAATACACATATATTCACATGTAAGTGTGAGCTACCTCCAAAAGAAGAATACCCAACATGAGTGATGAGTGGGCCACATAATTGCTCATAAACTGAAGAAGAAAAGAAAAATATGCCTCTGTGCTTCAATTAGAGAGCAAGGCTCAGCACCTCTTCCTGATGCAGTGAGTGTGAGCAGGCTAAACAGTGAGTGTATGAGGGGAAAGTGAGCCATGTTTCATTTCTGATGTGACGTTTCCTTGGGTGTAATCTGACTTACCAGGAAAAAAATTTAAAATCTTTTAAAAATAAGACTGGATTTAAAAGAAGGCTTTGTTTTGAATGGAGACCACACCCCACATTTAATTGTTTTCCTTTCAATGTGTTGACAGTAGAGATTTTTAGAGAAGAGTAAGGGAAATATAAGATTGCACATGAGTTGATGGTGGTAGAAGCTGAGTAATGAGCTAGAGCTTCATTACACTATTTTCAAAACCCTTGTATACTGTTTAAAAATTTACATAAGGCAGTGTTTTCTTTTCTCTCTTTTTTTTTTTTGACAGGCAGAGTGGATAGTGAGAGAGAGAAAGGTCTTCCTTTTGCCATTGGTTCACTCTCCAATGGCCGCCATGGCTGGCGCGCTGTGGCTGGCACACCGCGCTAATCCGAAGGCAGGAGCCAGGTGCTTCTCCTGGTCTCCCATGAGGGTGCAGGGGCCCAAGCACTTGGGCCATCCTCCACTGCCTTCCCGGGCCACAGCAGAGAGCTGGCCTGGAAGAGGGGCAACCGGGAAAGAATCTGGCTCCCCGATCAGGACTAGAACCTGGTGTGCTGGCGCCGCTAGGTGGAGGATTAGCCTATTGAGCTGCGGCGCCAGCCAAGACAGTGTTTTCTTAAAGTATGCAGATTAATTTATGTGTCTTCCATACCCTTTTTTGATGATGCGATCGTTGGCATCCATTGGTCTGGAAGTGAGGAAGAAGGAAGCTGTCCTCAGTACTCTGCACGGAAAGGATAGTCTTTATGATTTTCAGTTCTGAAAAACAGAAACAAATCAAGAATAGAAACAAAGATTAATGTTTTAAATAATATCTATTGAAAGGCAAGTTAGAGAGAGAGAGAGAAAGAGTCTCCCATCCACTAGTTCACTTCCCAAATGGCTACAATTACCAAGGCTGGGGCAGGCTAAAGCCAGGAGCCTGGAATTTCATCCAGTTCTCTTCTATGGGTTTAGGGTCTCAAACACTTGGGCCATTTCCCACTCCTTTTCCAGGTTCACTGGCAGGGAGCTGGGTCAGAAATGGAATATCCAGGACTATAAATTGTGCCCATATGGGATGCTGACATTGCATGCAGCACTGGGCCACAGGCTGGCTCCCAAAACTGCTCCACTTTTTTTTTGACAGGCAGAGTTAGACAGTGAAAGAGAGAGAGAGAGAGAGACAAAGGTCTTCCTTCCATTGGTTCACCCCCCAAGTGGCCGCTATGGCCAGTGCATTGCAGCCAGCACGCTGCTTTGATCCGAAGCCAGGAGCCAGGTGCTTCCTCCTGGTCTCCCATGCGAGTGCAGGGCCCAAGCACCTGGGCCATCCTTCACTGCCTTCCCAGGCCACAGCAGAGAGCTGGACTGGAAGAGGAGCAACCGGGACTAGAACCTGGTGCCCATAAGGGATGCCGGCGCTGCAGGCGGAAGATTAACCAAGTGAGCCATGGTGCCGGCCCCCAGATAAACATTTTAAATGATATATATTTTTAACTCCAAAGTATATAAAATTGGTCTTTGGCTTCATTCAATAGAACATCTTTGCACAAGAATTAATTAAGGTAAGAAGGCTAAATTACCCTAAACTGATTATGACACCTATTCAGGAACCAGCCATCAATCTGTATATTGCTCCCTCTACTTTAAAGGGAAGTAAAGGATCTATATTTACGTGGGGAATGTGACCCATCGGAGATTTTTGTCTAGACCAAGGATGGCATCCATATCTTCTTCTTTTAACTCGAAATCAAACACCTGGAATCAAAATATATTGTTCATAGAAAATAGTTTGTGTCACATTTAATTGAGCAAACATTACCTATAATCTAGGACTGTGAGGGCAAGCCCAAATAAAAACAGCACTTCAGTAGACACCTGGAACCCCCCTTACCCCCTGAATTACAGGCTAAGTTTCCCAAACACATCTTGAACCCTTTCATTTAACTGGCATTGACTTAGCCTCAGTCTTATTTAGGAAACCTTGGAAAGACTGAATATTTATTTCATTCATTTAAGGAGTAAAATATACCTTCAAATAGCTAAAAGTTACTGCAAGGAATTTTTACCACTAAACATTCCCTCAAGATCAACCCAACAAAACCATTTGTTCCACGGGGCCATCCCACCATCTAGGGAGCCACATGGCCCCTGGGATGACCCACACTAACAGCATGCATATGCCAGTATAATTTTTCTGAGTAATCATTTCTTTTTCCTTCTAGCATTGCATTCTAATGCTCACACACTTGTTTTTCACTAACACAGTAGAAGACCATGACCTGCTTCCGCAGCAACAGCTTTTCACAAGGGTGTCAATCTCACCCCTAGCTGAGGGCTGTGTTAGAGGAGGAGGAGACAAAGTTGAATCAAGTGACTCCAAGATGTCCCTGTATGGTGAGAGACAGGTGGTACCCAAACCTCTACCCACAGGAAGCTTATTATCCCGCAAACAAGAGCCAGGACTTATTCAGTATATACAGGAATTCTGACAAGGGTGATTAGGTTAAGTGTTTGGAATTGTGTTTGGATTTGCAAGGGAGTATTTTTGGATTGGGGGGATGAACATGTTTAGAAGAGTTTCTACAAATCAAGGCTCAGGGCAGGATTTGTGCAGCATTAATGAATGAGTGTTCTACAAACAGAAGAGAAGGCAACTGGCCCAGGACTCTGTATTCTGAACCTCTAGTTGTCTCTGAGGACAATTCCCCCAAACTCCTGTCTTGCTCCACATCTTTCAGCTCCTTCTCTGAAGCTTATCTTGTGGCCCCAGATTCTGATTCCTGCTGACATGACTGGAACTTAATCTTGTTTTTCTGAAACCATCCAGGCTCTCTGTCCTCAGCCATCAGATAAGATCTGCTTTTGCTCCATTAGGGTCGCACATCTGCTGCGTAATGCTGTCCATCAGGCCCAGGGATAGCTTTGCCCAATTGCATGCAGCAGACCTAATGCAAAGCATCAGGATGTCTTGTCTTTGCCCTAAGGAGCTCAAAAGCACACCAACTGCCATAATGTAATGGAGACCCCAAGGCACCACGATCTTTGGCAGAGGGGTGGAGAGGCAGCTGTGGCTCTGACTTCCGCTTGCTGAGCTTTCACATGAGGTTATGAACTTTCAAAGCTATTAAGCTGCAAATGCTGAGAGTGTCAGGTAAGTTTCTCAAGGCTATCTCCTTCTTTTTTATTTAATAAATGTGAATTTACAAAGTGCAACTTTTGTATTGTTGTGGCTCCCCCCCCAACCTCCCTCCCTCCCACGGCCCTCCCCTCTCCCACTCCTTCTCCCATCCCGCCCTTCATTGAGTTTCATTTTCAATCACCTTCATATACAGAAGATCAACTTAGTATATACTAAGCAAGGATTTCAACAGGCTGCACTCACAAAACCACACAAGGTATAGGGCATTGTTCGACTAGTAGTGTTGTTTTTAAGTTTCATAGTAAAACACATTAAGGACAGAGATCCTACATGGGGAGCCTGTACTCAGTGACTCCCGTTGTTGATTTAACAATTGACACTCTTATTTATGACGTCAGCAATCACCCGAGACTCTTGCTATGAGCTGTCTAGGCTATGGAAGCCCCTTGAGTTCACCAACTCTGAACTTGTTTAGTCAAGGCCATATCACAGTGGAGGTTCCTTCCTCCCTTCAGAGAAAGGTGCCTCCCTCTTTGTTGGCCTGTTCCTTCTGCTGGGGTATTGTTCACCAGGATCTTTCATTTAGATTGTTTTTTGCCACCGTGTCATGGCTTCCCATGCCTGTGAGACTCTCATGGACCTTTTAGCCAGATCCAAATGTCCCAAGGGTTGATTCTGAGGCAGGAGTGCTGTTTTGGGCATTTGACAAGGCTATCTCCTTCTAGGAAGAATCTTGGCTGCACTACATGGGGCAGATGCCAGTCATTCACCCACTTCCAAATATTGACTTCCGGCCCAAGATTTGAGACATAACTCCAAGAGGCCTATCAGTAACCACCCCAGATAACTGAGCCTCCAATAACTTAGCTGAATGTGTTGTCTCAAAGTATAACTTTTCTGGTCAACTGCCTCTGACCTTGACCATTTAAGACCAAGACATCTCAGGAAGTTTGAAGGGATGTGTACAGGTGACAGGTGGGAGGAGGATTCTACTCCCAAAAGGCATTAGCCCATTACAGTGAGCACTATGAGCACTCTGTCATGCTCTTATTCCCAAGGTCTTTCTGTGAGGAGTAGACTGCCTCAACTGCCACACTGACTGGTAATGACACTGTGTTCCACCTCACACTACCTGAGGAGCCATTAGGTCTGAGGACACTGCACTGTTAAATGCAGATCCACCAATACAGCCAGCCCTCCATATCTGTGGGTTCCATATATGTAGATACCACCAACTGTGTATTGAAAAATTTCAGGGAAAATGTTTCTTTATTGAACTATTTGCTTTTGTCTTTATTCCCTAAGTGGTACTGTATGATAACTATTTACATTGCATTTATTATTTATTATTTATTATGTTTGATAAACAATCTATTAATGATTTAAATACAACAGAATATGTGTATAAGTAAATACATACAGGGAACTTGAGCATCCCCAGGTTCTAGTATCCACAGGCGCCCCCAGAATGAATTCCCTGCAGATACAGAGGGCTAACTACATCTCTGGATACATTTTATTTTTTCTGGCTGTTGTAGTAAAATTTAAGGGTACAACAGTGACTCAAGGAGTTAATGAGAAGCTGGACTTAATGATAAACACAGCAGCAGAATTCTGGATATCAGTGCAACAGATCTACTGAAGATATAAGTGACTAAACAGTCCCAGGCTCACACATGTCATGTGTCACACATGTCAAACTGCACTGACATGACTAATGGAGTTTGGTCACTAGCAATGCCTACTGATGCCCTTGAGGAAATTCCCATGACTGGCAGCTAATGGCATTAGGTGCTTCTTTGGAATAGTCACTTACACTAATAATTTCACATGTGTTATTATATTTAATACTTTCAGCAATCTGTGAGATGGCATTCTGATGAAGAAATTAAGGTTTAGAGAAGTGACATAGCTGTTAGATGGCGGGTGGGCCTTTTGAAATCCCAAATCTGTGTCTTAACCACTATGCTATAGACTGTATCTTCAGAGTTGAAGCCACACAAAGTTCCAAAAATAAATCTCACATACTTCAACTGTTCTTGCCAGAGATTGAAAATGTTTTCCTCAAAAGGATCCTGACCTTTCAGTGTTTCATACACATATTTCCAAAAGGAGATACCTGACTGGCCTTCACTCCTACCTTTCAAAAGTCATCAGACAGGAGTTAGGACAGGAACCTTTCAATTTTACACTCAAACAGCAACTTTCAAGTGACCAGTGAGCACCCTCGCATGTAGCAGAGACTGGACTGCTGTCATTGCTTCAGTTTGTTCCTGAGACAATGGGTGGACAACATCCAGTCTCCCTTGCCATTTGTTGCAGCCACATGATTATCGGGACCAACCAGTGTCAGTGGAAGTGAGGTAGACATCTGCAAGCCTGGTCTGTCAAAATATCTTTTATAAGAGACTCTTTCCTCTTCCTCAATTTGGGCTTACTGGAGAAAAGTCAAAACCCTGGGCAAGGGACAGTGGGGATGCAAGGCCCACTGACATGAAGCCTTGGTCCCTTTTATCACCAAGGAAAAGGACCATTGCAAACATCTACAGTGCAGGGGAATAGATCTTTGTTGTGTCAAAGGCACAGAGATCCTGGAGCTGTTTGTTACAGTAGATAGTTTTTATTAGACTATTGGATCCTAATCCTCTAACATAAAAGAAGAAAAACACCTACTTGAATATTCTCATTAATATGGTGTGGGTTGAGGGCTATGGGAATCACTGTCACATTCCTCTGTATCTGAAATCGAAGCAAAATCTGTAGGGAGAAAAAAAGACTATATCACACAAAGGGAAATCATAAGAATTCATATCTTAGCCATTTTCCTCAAGGTCTGATTTTTATTAAGAAGTGAAAGTTCAAATGTCAGAAACAGCCAGGGATTTATGACAAATTCTTTCAGATCAAATTCCTTTAGAAATAACACTAGCATTTTCTGAAGAGTTCTATCAGTACATATGTAATTGCCTTAGGAGAATGTCAAGGGACCCACCAAACCTTAATTAGAACTCCATAATGTGTCAAATCCTCCAAACAAACAATGTTAGAATGAAGAAGACTGTAATAAATGAATTTTATGTTCCAATTACTCTAGCATGTTCATGCCCCTGAGGAGACAGAGAAAGTGAGCCTGGGAGCTTGGCCTCTGAGTCCTGAAAGTCTAGCAGGCAAGAAGACTGTTTGGATGAATGGGAACATGGATGAAAGCAATATAGAGAGTTCTGACAGCTCATCCAGGTCAGATAATGTATTCCTTAAAAGCACCAAGTCCTAGGAATCCTAGAGGACATTAAGAAGGGCATTCCCAGGGGGCTGGTGCTGTGGTGCAGTGGGTTAAAGTCCCAATCTGCAGTGCTAACATCCCATATGGGCAACAGTTCAAGTCTCAGCTGCTCCACTTCCGATCCAGCTCCCTGCTGATGTGCCTGGGAAGGCAGTAGAGGGCCCCCACACCGACATGGGAAGCCTGAAGGAAGTTCCTGGATCCTAGCTTAGAAACGGTGCAGCTCTGGCTGTTGCAGCCAATGGAGAGTGAACCAATGGTGGAAGACCTCTCTCAATGTTTATACCTCTCTGTAACTTTGTCTTTAAAATAAATAAAATAAATCTTTTTTAAAAAGTAAGGGTACTTCCAGCACAGAACAGCCCTTTGAGTACCTGAGCAGGAGTCTTGCCATGATTCTGTGCAATTCTCTGAAGCACAGGGTCATCCATCAAGTCAACCCCCTTCCTAGAAAGACACAAGCACAGGGAGGTGAACTAGAAGATCCTACATGGATTTTTTCTTTAAAAATAAAAACTCTCCTCCCTGTGATAGATTTTTCCCTGATAGTGATACATAATCACCATAGGAAATTTAAAAGATGCACAAAATCACATCACCCCAAGGTCAACATCCGGAGATGACCATTGTTAACATTTTGGTTAATCGTCACATCATCACTTTGCATATGGACTTATTTTGTGCTTTGTTTCAAGAATCAGGTGGCACCATCAAAGTACAGAAAGCAATGGGGTCTCTGTGATTTGGGGGGTCCCACTAACATGTATGCATTCTCTGGCTACTTAGACTTCTTCCATAGGACCTGGTAGATGGCCTGCAGCACCATTGATCAGTACATTATGCTGCTGCTGATAACCTCTGAAACGTTCACTCCAAATACATAAACAGTTGAGATTTTAAACGTGGAAACTTTACTGCATGGCATTTTGAAGACTAAGACATTTTGAAGACTCCATCCTTCAACATCCATTCAGGTCAGGCAAGTGATGGGAACTAATAATTATAGAGCCACTTTTTCCACCAACATTTATGAAATTGTTGCTGGATTTCAAATATTGGGCTGGTTATAGTCCTCACAGTCCCCTGAAGGAATATGCCTCTTGCCACAAGCCCAGGACTACAGTCACGTCCCTTCCTTTGAAGCCTGCACCACCTACCCTATCATGGGCTCTTCTTCCAAAAAGCTCAAATGTGGAATGTAACCCAGCCTTCTAAGAGCTCCCCAGCTCCTACCAAGTTCAAACACATAGGCTGCATGTCAAATGGAAAACACAAAGGTGACAAAATGTAAATCATTTCAGCCTATTAGAGGATGTCTATCATGTCCTGAGGATAAAGAATAAAAGAATGAGTAAAAGAGTCTTTGCACTTAGGAAGCTTTAATTAGTGAAAGAGGATGAGAAAAAAATGATAATGTGATAATGTGACGAATACAGAATTCCTGAAGGATTCATGGAGATGAGAATGCTTCATTGAATGTTATATTTTTAAAAAAATGGATTGGAGGCCGGCACCGTGGCTCACTAGGCTAATCCTCCGCCTTGCGGCGCGGACACACCAGGTTCTAGTCCCGGTTGCCCCTCTTCCAGGCCAGCTCTCTGCTGTGGCCCGGGAGTGCAGTGGAGGATGGCCCAAGTGCTTGGGCCCTGCACCCGCATGGGAGACCAGGAGAAGCACCTGGCTCCTGCCTTCAGATCAGTGCGGTGTGCCGGGTCACAGCATACCGGCCGTGGCGGCCATTGGAGGGTGAACCAACGGCAAAGGAAGACCTTTCTCTCTGTCTCTCTCTCACTGTCCACTCTGCCTGTCAAAAAAAATGGATTGGCTGAATCCAATAAAAAGATCAGATTTCCAGGTAAATAGAATGGTATATGCTAAGGCCCTGAGACTTGAAAGAACATGTTCTAACAGTGGAACTCAAGTAGCTCCATGTGGTGGATGCATTGAATTTTTGCAACAAGAGGAAAAAATGAAGACAGAGGCAGGAAGAGGCCATATCAACTGCTACTCATAGGCCATTCTAATATTTGATGTGTTTTTAAGCAAGAAAGTGACATGATCATTATAAAACAGGTCCTTTCTGTTACTATGTGAATGATGGATTGGGATGAGGTATGCTTGGGAAATAATTAAGGGGTTCCTCTAAGAACATTAGGGAATTGTTCCTTAATTAAGGCAGTGATGGTTACAATGGAGTTCCAAAGACAAATTTCAAGTTCTGACAAAAACATTAGTAGTTCTTGGTGTTGGATTAAATTAGGGGGGTAATTCAATTTGCAACTGTCTTGGTGATTTGCTAAGTTGGGTGGCAGTGTCCTGGCTGATATTATGAACACAGTGTATATAAATACTGGGTTCTTGGAAAAGAAAAAAATCCAGGATTTCTGTTATCTAAAGACTGAAAATTCTATGAGACATCCTGGTAGATGTCAGTAGCTGATGGATGTACTAAAAGAAGGCTCCATGAAAGGATCTCTTTGAGCTGGTTATGGACCTTGAAATGACTTTTCAAGCAATCCATAAAATGTGACTCTCTAGCTTCTAGCAAAAACTCTTGGCCTCCACCCAGGGCCTTGGAAGTTTGGAGGGCTCTTGTGGTCCCTCCACACAGTGCCCACATCTTTTAATGAATCTCCTTTAAATGTCCAAATGAAATGGAAAGGCAGTATCCATACCACTAAGGCCCCAACTAGCATAGTCACGGATGCATCCTTACCATGAGCTACCAAAAGGATAGTAAGCAGTCACGGACACATCTCTCTCTTGACAGAAACCAATCAGATTCTTCTGAGTAAGATATGGGTGGCACTCAATCTACAAACAAAAGCACAGATGACCACAAAAACTCAGGCAAAATATATCCTATGAAAACTATATAATAAAGACCAGTATCAATGTCTTGGTCTCACTATTCATCTATAGTGTCCATGTTGAGGCCTGGGTGTCTTTTTAAGTAATAAGGATGGACTAAGCCAGGTCCACTCGCGGTGAAGGGCTGAATCCACAGGCTTAGGGATATCTGTGTCATATGAAGGCTCCAATATCTCCTGCTCAGTGAGGCCTTCACAAAGTACTAAATGAAAACTACACCTTTGGCCCGCGCTGTGGCTCAATAGGCTAATCCTCTGCCTGCGGTGCCAGCACTCCAGGTTGTAGTACCGGTCGGAGTGCCAGATTCTGTTCCAGTTGCTCCTCTTCCTGTCCAGCTCTCTGCTGTGACCCGGGAGGGCAATGGAGGATGGCCCAAGTACTTGGACCCTGCACCCGCATGGGAGACCAGGAGGATGCACCTGCTCCTGGCTTCGGATCAGTGCGGTGTGCTGGCCGCAGGGGCCATTGGGGGTGAACCAACGGAAAAGGAAGACCTTTTTCTCTGTCTTTCTCTCTCTCACTGTCCACTCTGCCTGTCAAAAAAAAAAAAAAAAGAAAGGAAAAGAAAACTACAACACACCGTATCTCCCATCTCCTTTCTGTCCTTTATCTTCCCCTATAGCAGTTATCATCATCTGACAACATACATATTTATTTCTTATATCTGTTTTCACTAGGACTTAAGCTTTATAAGGACAAGGATTGTGTTAAAGATTTATTTATATTATTTATTTGAAAGAGAAAGAGAGAGAGAGAGAGAGAGAGAGAGAGAGAGAGAGAGAGATCTTCCATTTGCTGCTTCACTTCTTAGATGACCATCATGGCCAGTGCTGGTCCAGGACCAAGCCAGGAGCTGGGAGCTCTACCTGGGTCTCCCATATGGGTGGCAGGGGCCCAAACACTTAGACCATTTTCTACCGCTTTTCCCAGACAATTAGCAGGGGTCTGGATCAGAAATAGAATGACCAGGACATGGACTGGCACTCATATGCGATGCCAACGTAGCAGGCACCAGCATAACCCACTACACCACAATGCTGGTCCCAGAAACAAGGAGTTTTTATGCGCATTTGTTTGTTTTATTTTTAATTTTAATTAATTTTTAACAGATTCAATGTGATTTGTAGATATAATGTACCTCAACACCTAGACAAACCTAGGCATGCAGAAATGAACAAATTAAATTGAGGAGTTACATGTGATAAATGTATAGAACAGGTGACTTCCATTAATATTTTAAGAAGCTTGAGAGCAGGATTGCTAACTCTTCTATTTTCTCTATATTCTCATGTACAATGCCAGGTTATAAGTGGACTTAAATGTACATTTAGAGTGAATTAAAGTGATCGATGAATAGAGTCTTTACTCTCAGGGATATGACCAGCCCAGCAAGATTGGCTACCAGGAATCCTCCAACAGAAAATCTAGGCCTTCTAGAATATTCCAAAACCTGCATTTTTGAGTCCACAACTCTACGAAAATAGACTCTCCAAGTTGCCCTATCTCTCCATTTCCAGCAATTATTACTAGGTATTTAAAATATATTTCATCATCAACAACAACAAAAAAATACACACAACAAAGAAGCTATTGTTCATTTAAACAAATTCCATGTGTGTAATGTTTGGAAGAAGCAAAATTGAACTATATTAGACATTGAATTAGAGATTGCTCTTTGAGATGGTGACTTGTACGGGAGACAGAAAGACCTTCTGGAAAGCTGAGGATGTTCATTCTTGCTCTGGGTGCTGAACATTTAAGTGTGGTCAACTGAAAAAATTCAGTTATACCCTTAATGACTCATGGACTTCTCTGTATGGGTGTCACACTGGACAGCGATTTACTTATATTCACTTCATTTGAAAGTGAGAAAGAGAGATAGAGAAGTCTCCCACTGCAGAGTCACTCTCCAAGGGTCCACAACAGCTAGGTCTGGGCCAGGCCTAATCCAAGAGCCTAGAACTCAACCTAAGTCTTCCACACTCACTACTGTCATAATGAATTTTTAAAAACCGAATTTTTAAAAAGCACAAAGTGATGCTCTTTCCTTGATAGTTCTAAACTGAAAACCATCCATGTACATATCAACAACAGAAGGAATAACTACATCATGGAGTATTCACACAATGGAATCCCATATAGAACAATGAGTTGAATACACACACAAGCACATTGGAATTCATATAAGAAACATAATGTGTGTGAAATAAACCTGACAAAATCTGTCTGTAAACCATTTTTATTCTATCTGTAAAGAGATGAAAATCCAATCTGTATTTCTAGAAATCAGAACAATGGTTACCTTTGCAGGATATGGGTGCTTAATAGAAATGAGCATGATTGAGAGCTTCTGGAGTACTGATCCTGCTCTCTTTCCTGACCTGAATCCTGGTTAGGAAGCTGTGCTATCTTTATGAGGACACATCAAACTCCTTTTACACATGTACACTTTCCTGTACATGTGCATTTCACTTTAATTATTATGTTTAAGTAAAATATGATACTGCAAAAATGTTCTTTGGAAATGTTAAGCTATTCAGTCTGTCTAGAAAATGTAATAGTCCTGTTTCCACAAGTCTTTTCTCTGCATTAAAAATAAGAAGGGCCAGCCCCTGTGAACCTGAGGTGAAGGCATTTCCTCAACTACCCCATTCCTGCTGCCAGTCTGCTTGGCTGGCAGGGAAGAGAAAAGGGTTGTTTTCATCTAATGAGGGCACAGGGCCTGCCAGCACCCTGAGCCTGCATAACACACCTGATGACCTGCCTATGAGTGCATAAGGAGAACCAAGCTCCAGCTCATACCTAGACTGACAACACTACTACCTTACAGATAAGCCTTAGAGAAACCCACATGCCTACTCATCCTGTCATGAGCTCAACTTTTACTGCAAGTCATGACAGCGACAGTCTCTGGAGGACAATGTCTTCTTGTGTGCTTACCTCATCCCATTTCCGACATAGTTACATTAACAGTTAGGAAACTAACAATACCACCGAAACCCTCTGACACTTCTACCACTCACCTGGTTAGTCACTGGTTTGATCCTCAAACCAGGCTTTTTCAAAAGCCTCTCAAGTTGTTCATGGTTGAAGTTGCACACTCCAATGGCCTTGACTAGCCCTGCCTTCACCAGCTCCTCCATGGCCTGAAAAAGAGCAAAGATTTCAGGGTCTCTGTCTACTCTCCTGACAGTCATGCCTCTTAGCAACCTGGCATAGTATTCTACATACAATGAATTTTTAGGGTATCTTACTTAAAATTTCAAAGCATTTCTTTTTTAAGATTTATTTACTTATTTGAAAGACAGAGTTACATAGAAGGAGAGGCAGGGAGAGAGAGAAAGAGAGGGATGGAGGGGGGAAGTGCGAGAGAGGAAGAGAGAGAGAGAGAGAGAGAGAGAGAGAGAGAGAGAGAGAGAGCTCTTCCATTTGCTGGTTCACTCCCCTAGTGGCTGCAATGGCCAGTGCTTGGCTAGGTCAAAGCCATGAGCTAGCAGTTTCTTCTGTTTCTCCCACCTGGGTGCAGGAGCCCAAGGACTTGGGCCATCCTCCTCAGCTTTCATATGTGTATTAGCAGGGAGCTAGATCAGAACTGGAGCAGCCAAGACTTGAACCAGCACTCATATGGGATGCTGGTGCTGCAAGTGCAGGATTTACCCACTGCACCACAACACCAGCCCCTAAAAGCATTTCTGCACCCAAGGTCTGCTCTCAGTTTCATCTCTTTATATCTGGTACATGCTAGGTGGGCAAATTATATGATTTTATGAAGCTTGAATTTCCTCACAGGCAACCGCAGGATACTTTGAAGGGTTCCATGACATGATGTGCAAAAAAAATTTAGTTAAGCCTGGAATTTAATAAACATTTCATACATTCAACTACTATGATTGCTAGTAATCTGAATATCCATTGGTATGGTGTCAAACAAATATGTCTATTGCTGATTTTATTTCTTTACATTTCCTTATCACAATTATATATCACTTCTTGTCTCACCTTTACCACTTAATATGATAAAGAACTCAATGGTACAGCAACACAAAGATCTGAGTTGTTCACTGATGAGCAAGTCAGCCTAGCCCTCAGCGTCAGAATGAAGATGACCTCTGTGCCAGTCCCCTAGTCAGCAGTAAGTCCTGAATGGTCACTGGGCCATGAGCAGTGAGTCAGTGTGCACCCATTACTGCCTCTGCTCTGCAACAATAACCAGGAACTCCCTGTCACTACACTGAAAGTTTAACCCAAATCTTAAAGGAGTGACAGTGCTGGAATTCCTGGACACTGGTCCTGATATCTCAGACATGGAGTCAGCCTGTGTCTCACTGATTCACAGGTGATGAGGATGGTGGCAGCTAGTCCAAGGTCTTCACTCTGTGGTTTCCCCATTGTCTCCCCGTTGCATGGTTGTGGACTCTTAAATGACATCACTCATCATTCTCAAGTAGTGGCTCCATGATTCCATCTCTTGAATTCAAGCTATCCACTAAACTCAGTTCAAGTTTGAAGTCTCTTTATTCATGATCTGTAACCATTCCCTTTCTCTATCTTCCACGCTGGTTGGAAAAATATATGTACATTGTAATCCATAAGCTGTACTTTGGAAATTTATATTCATTAAATAAAAATTAAAAATAAAAAAAAAATATATGTACTCAGTCAGCCATGCTAGAGACTATGTCCTAAAGGAACCTTGATATCCTCACTCCCTACTCCTGCCCACAGTCTATTTGTTAACCTTCATGAGATTCCTAAACTTACCACCTCCTTTATTCCCCTGCTCTCTACTTTATTTCAAGCCTCACTATTTATCACCCAGACCCTAGAAACTTGTGAAAATTTCAACTGTCCTTCTATTTGCCTTCCGTCTCCCTCACATGCATTTCACTATGCTGTCAACATTATCATTTAGAATATTTAAAAGAGACATAGTAAGAACTATAAAGTATTAATAGTGGGTGCCAATAGGTAATGGAAACACAAATTTTAAAATTTTCTTTTTTATGTTATTCTGCATTTTATGAAATAAGTATTTTGTATCTTTTAACAAAAAGCATTTGAGAAAAAAAAAGCCAGGCTTCTTTAGTGGTTCTTAAAGTTTTAGAGAGAAGTAAAACAATAAGCTAATGCTAACAGGGAAGTCATTTGATTTGTCTGAGTTCTTCAAGCATCCATCCCTAATTCATACTGAAATCCCTGTGTCTCAACTAGACAAACCTGGTGTCCTTGAACACAAGAAGCTCTGTGTCTCACAACTTCCTATTTTTGGTGATCCACCAGCAAGGATGAAGTTGCCACCTGACATGGCTCAGCTTACCTCCCATGTTTCCAAGTAGTCGGTATCACTTGGTATAACATTTCCATGATGATCCAAAGGCAACTCTTTCTTTCCTGGCTATGAGAATATGAAGAAAATGAGCTTATTATGGCCCCTAGTCACCAGTGATGAAGACCCTGTGTAGAGAGAGGATCAAGATACTTGGAAAGATCTCTATGTGTCACGAGATCAGCATCCAAGCTGCAGCCTGGCAGTGCCTTTTATAGGCCTTGGTTTCCTACCTTTGTAAAACCAAGGGTCAAGCAGACCAGATAAACAGCAAAGTCCTCACCAACCTTCCAGTTCACTGCCTACCTCTCACAAGGGAGAAAGGAAAGGCATTGAGTCATCACCCATTGCCAGAGAACAGTCTAGTAACTTCAGGTAAAGAAGAGGGCAAAAGTAATTTTCTTCATGTCCAAAGAGCACAGAAAACCTTCTCTCAACTCCATTCTTAGTATTTATTCCTCTTTTCTTAGAATTCTCATCAGGACAAGAAATAATTAACTGAGAATTCAAAGGTACGAAGAAAGTACATGGCCAAGAAAAACACTCTTAAATGGTAAAATTTCTAAGTCCCTTCTGAACAGTTGCAGGTGTTGATTTGCAATTCTCCTGCCTCACTCACACTCACCCCCTACCTACCCAGCATATTATGGCATGAGTGGTGAAAGACTTACGTTTATTTGGCCACGTGCAATCTACCAAAGTGACAGAAGACCCAAAGTGGTCTGTGTCTCAGAGGAAATTTCCATAATGAAATGAAGGACCTATCTTGCTTCTAAGCCTTCCTCTATGTTGACATTCTTCAAGTCCCCCACACAAATTTTGTCCTGGTTTCACAGCTGGACGCTGCTCTTCTCTGCCTCTGACATCATGGTCAGAAGACATGCTATTGATGCTACACTATTATTCTACTGTGTAGTTTGTTGAATGGTCTGGTGCTGCCTTGTTTTCTACCATTCAGAGATCCAAAAGCAGGAATCTCCTGGCAGAGAGCAATAAATACCTGACCTAAACATAAGCTTCTGGGTCCCAGTAATCTTCTTTAAACTTCCTTGCCTCAGTGGCATCATCTATGTAATGGAAAATTAACAGCACATACTTTACAGTAATGCTGTGAGGATGAAATGAATGCTTTACGTTAAGTACCTAAACAAGACCTGGCACCTAATTAAAATAATGAGAGGAAAAAAGTAAGTGCAATATACTTATTATCACTGCTTTATTGTGGTGGTATTCAAAAACAGAATTATTTTTTAATTATTTCTGCCTCTTTTGCTCTCTATGCATCTTCTGTTCTGTGTTAATGTGACTCATGTACCTGTGTTATTTATTGAAACTAGATACAAAGCTGCACTGGAAATGGAGTGGGCTATGTTGTTTTAATCCAAAGTGATAACCAACATTTTGGTGCACACTATAAGACCTTCAAACAAGGCAGGCATAGTGGGGCAGCAGCAGTCACTCAAGGAAAGTTTATGATCAGCTGTCACCCATTCCAACGTAAGAATCACCACGCTTCAAAGACTTCTGAATTTCCCAGGCACCACCCAAGTGACCTGTCCTTGTCCAGGAAGGCTTCCATTTTCACCTAGGGCTGATGTGCAGGGACAACCTAGGCAGCACTCACAAGAGATTGAGGCAGGGAATGCTGCTGAGTTAAAGCAGGGGGTGGGAGGGGTGATTGTAAGATCAGCCATTAATGGAATAACATAAAGCTAAGCAGAAGAATCATCTATTTTCATCATCAACCAGACCCTGTAGTGATGAACAAGCATATCATGCACAAAAACAATCCCTCCAAAGAGAATGGAACTTGCAAGAAGAAGTACGGCCAAGGACATCACTGGAAAGCTGGGAATGGCACAATCAGAAGTCTTGAGTAGTAGTATTTCCTCATCAGATACCTCTTTCACCTATACATAGATGCAAAAAACTCACTCCCTTTTAGCTTGAAAGAAAAGTGCCAGACTTAAAGACAGAAAAATGAAATCATCAGAGGTTCTCCAATTCAATCCTCTCCTGAGCTAAGACCCAGAGATTTTAAGATGCCTTCCCAGACCACAGCCAGCATGTGCTGTCTGCAGTAGCAGAAATCTATCCTGAATGCTGGCCCATGCTGTTTCCACCATGAAATGGGGTTTGACTGTGGAGAGGAATCCCTGAAAGCTGGATATCTAACCACTTAATGAACAGTACCTTGAAACCCATAGGCCAGTGCATGAGGTAAAGGTCGATGTATTCCAGGTTGAGTGTCTTCAGAGTCTTGATGCATGCTGCTTTCACCAAGGACTTCTTGTGGCAGGTGCACCACAGCTACAAAGGACAGAGGGGCCACTGTGACACACAGCCATATCCCAGAGCTAACAAAACACTGGGGTCTTCAGTCCCACAAAAGCTACTCTCTGGAAGATCAAAAATATTTAAGATGAGAAAATGGCCAATACAACATAACAAGTTCTGAGGAGAACACGAAGTGATATTATACTCAAAAACTTTCTTAGACCCCCTGGAAAGGGTCTCCAAAGAGGGCTCCTTTGTCAAATTCCTACTCAAGGGAAGTTCAGGACACCAAGAAAAACTTGGTAGAAGTTATGGTGGTTATTATTTGGATTCTCTGGGGCTGCCAATAATACCTGCTGGCAGAAAGAATATGAAGAAAAATCAGAAATATTTATGTATTGTGTTTCCAAGTCATATTCACTAACAGATTTCATGTGAATGGTTCCCTATTTGAAGCTAATGGAGCCTTGTTGAATAAACTACATAAGCTAACATGTATTGTCATATTGATGTAGGTATTTCTTCCAATTTGCTCCATTAACTAAAAAATATGTAATTGTTTTTCCCCTCATTTTTTCTCCACTATGTTTTTGCTTCTGGTGACAAAAGCTAACCTGAAGTCTCCATAGAAGCGAGTGAAAACAAAAACAAGGTGAATGAAAGGAAAAGGAATGTAAAATAAATGAAAATAAACACAATATTTTAACAAAATATTGTGAACATGTTGATGACTTTTCCAAATTTCCAAAATAATGAGTATACTGCAACAGCTGTGACTTATTCAGAAGCAACTTGTCCCCAGACAGTGGGGTGAACCTTAGAAATCCCAATTGTCTGTCTCCCTACTTGGAGTATTCAGAAGAAATTTCTATACAAGCAAACACTGTGCCCTAACCCTTACCACTTTTATTAGACAACAATAATGAAAGGCAAAAATTAATTGCCTTAGAGTAAAACAGAAAGGCACTATTGTAATTGTAAAATTTTCAGTCTAGAAATTTCTCAAAGCCTTGTTTCATAGGTGTTGAAGCTGTAGTGCTAAGCCATCTGCTGTCTGATACCCACACTCCTGACTGACAGCTACAGAGAGCTAGAAATTGAACACATGGTTCTCGATATCAAGGTCTTAACATTCTGCTTCAAAGTCAAAGGCAAAGGAATTCATTAATTTTCCACTACCTCGATCTACTCCCTGCATTTTCTAGAAGGCTTGCCTTTTCACCATACTCATGTCCACTTCTCTTTCCCATCCCCCCACTATTCCAAGTGTGACCTTCATCAACACCCACCTATACTGTTAATATCTCCTTACTTGTCTCCTGCCTCTTAATCAAATGCCTGCTCCTTTCCGCTGCTACAACACCCCATATACAACACAACCCCCCCACCTCTTACATATTAGCTGCTTAAAAGCCTGACAATTGACCTGCATCTCAAGGACAAAGTACAAGCTGCTGAGATAACTTTCCAAGCCCCTCCTGACCTGTCCTCTGCCCACATCTCCAACTTCACATCATTTTCCCCTCTAAAGCCTCTCGCTGTGTGATCCAATAGCACCAAACTTCTTAGAGATTCCTTCATTGGCTGTCTCCTTTGGGCCTGATGACTGTACTGAAATCGTTTCTTTTTTTTATTTTTTTTACAGGCAGAGTGGACAGTGAGAGAGAGAGAGAGACAGAGAGAAAGGTCTTCCTTTTTCCATTGGTTCACTCCCCAATGGCCATTGTGGCCAGTGCGCTGCAGCCGGAGCACCGCACTGATCTGAAGCCAGGAGCAGGTGCTTCTCCTGGTCTTCCATGCAGGTGCAGGGCCCAAGGACTTGGGCCATCCTCCACTGCACTCCCTGGCCACAGCAGAGAGCTGGCCTGGAAGAGGAGCAACCAGGACAGAATCCGGCACCCCGACCAGGACTAGAACCCGGTGTGCCAGTGCCACAGGCGGAGGATTAGCCTATTGAGCCGGGGCACTGGCTGAAATTGTTCCTTTTGTAATGCTATCCCCCACCTCTTCACCTGCACTATGCCCACAGTTTATTAACCAGAAGTCTGGGGTAGAAACTGGAACCTCCATTTTCACTATCTGTAATGATTCTAAATTTGAGAATTGCTATGTAGACAAAGTTCAAGTGCAGGTTACTCAATTTTTAAGGGAGAATGAGGATGAGAGATGGAGAGGCAGAAAGAGGAAGAAATCTTCCATTCACTGGTCACTCTGAAAATGCACTAGTGGTTTGGGCTGCACCAGGAATATCATTCATGTCTCTGTGTGAATGGGAGAAACCCAAGCATTGGAAAAATCAACTGCTGTCTCCCTGTATGCACTAGCAGGACTGGAAGCAGAGCTGGGCATCTATTCCAGGCTCTCTGATATAGGATGCAGGCAAACCTGATAGCAGCTTAACCTAATGCACCTCATCACCCAACTCTTGATGTTTGTTTTAAGAATATATCATTAATTGGAAGATATCTGTGCAATCCCTCCTTAATGGCCAAATCAATAACATGAGGGAAATCGACCCACATGCAATAGGTCTCAGTGACATTTTTCATGAATATGTGAAATCTCTGTGAGTAGTGGTTCGTGTGTGGAGCAAAGCCATCAAACTTTATCGGGAAATTAGAAACTTCTCCATGCTATGCGATTCTAGCTTTTCTGTTAGTGAATACTGGAATGGCTGAGACTCTGTTGCCCGCGCAACCAAGAAGACCTACCTTGCTGACAATGAAGAGATCCTCTCGCGTCACGATGTCCTCCACGATTTTGGAGTAGACGGCTGTTCCAACCTCACTCTCATTGTGGTATAAGGAAGCACAGTCAAAGTGCGTATACCCCAAGTCAATGGCCAGCTTCACTGCCTCAGTCACCTCTCCTGGGCCTGCCTGTGGAACCAGCAAAACAAAAGTGTTCCTTCCAAAATCAAAGTGATCCAACCCAAATCCCCCTGCTTTCACTTAAGAATGTGGAGTCACATAATACATAGCAAATTTAGTCACTGAACCGGCACTATTGTCAATCAGTCATAACTTAGGGAATCAGAGTCAGAAACAAATTTACAGATCATTTAAGTTCTAGTTCCTTTATTTGGGCAAAAAACATAGGTCTTTTTCATGTCTGCAGAGATGCCATGCTTCTTGAATAATCAAAGAATAAATGTAGAATTATTAATAATAATAATCATTATTATTACTGTGACAAAGAGGGATAGGACCTGTCCAGTATTTTTCAAGACCATACTGTATGAAGGTAACAGACACAGGGAACATGAGCTAAACGCAAATGAATACCACAGATGCTACACACAGTCGCCATCAGCTGGGCTCAAGCGAGAGAAGAGACTAGAATGTGGGCAAGACTATGGAGGAGGATCATAAGCTTACGAGAAGATTCATAGTGGGCTTGATACTTCACAAACCATTTTTACATTTGAACTTCTCCATAATCTATGAGATGTATCAGTACAGTGGTCTTCATTTAACAAGCAATAGATGTCAGTGTGGCCAAATGACAATGAAAAAAAAGTGAGTATCTTAAGTTAGAAAAGGAAAAGCCACATGACTAGAGAACAAAAGCATGAAAAGAAGGAAATCAGTGGAATAGGAAACAAAGCTGAAACATGGAAATCAACAGAACCAGAAATTTGTTCTATGAAAATAATAATAAATACACAACCATTGGGAAAGACTATAATAAATAATAATACACCACCATAATAAAATACACAACCTTCGGGAAAGATTAATCAATAGAAGCCCACTTTGTAAAATGATATGAAAAGGAAGGATATGCAGACCAAATAAACTTAAAAGAAAATATTACCTATAGCTATACATAGATATTATTAGAAAAATAACATAAAATGGAAAGGTTTCTAGAAGTAAATTAAAAACTCAAGAAGAAATGAAGGTTTAATAGCCGTGTAATAAAGTAATAAGAGGGCAAGTGTCCTAAACTCTTCAGCATAACCCTCAACTCAAAAACAGACAAAATGCTAAAAAACAGGAGGTTTAAAATATTAAAAGCAACTATGAAATGCCATAGCTGCCACCAGATTCTCAGATAATTTACTAAAATTTGTTTTACAAAAGTTTCAGTCCTGCTCATGTCATAGCGGGATGCCATTTTAGGTTAACAGCCGTGTCTTCCTCAGGCAGGAGTGGACCTCTAGCATGGCACAAGCGACTTCCCAGACCCGTTACGGATCCCAGTTTGGATCCGTATCAGGTGGAGGGGCCGTGGTCTGAGGAGTAGGGCGAGAAGCCTGGGAAGTTCTGGGTGCCGGAGACCCCAAGGCGAAGATTCACCCGTCCAGAGCCCAGCCTCCACCCTCCAGAATTCACTTAAGTCAGGTGTGCAGTGGCGGAAGAGGAGGCCACTTCCGGCATGCCAGACCATTTCACCTTCCAGGTGCCCAGCCCCAGAACAGGGATCTTCGTCATTCTTGGTGTTGCGGTGTTAGTGACGGCTGGCTCTGATCAGTTGGTGAGGATAGCAGCGGCCATGTTGGTTACTTGGAGACCCCACGTGCACTGCAAGCCCCCTGATTGGTTGATGGAACTCATCCTGATTGGCTGGAGACATCATGTGGGGTGGAGAGTGGGGGGTTTCTTCCTTCTAGAATCAAACAAGTGGTCGGGTTCTTTGGCTAGGAAAGTGGCGCCAGGCTTGCCGTCTCCTAGCAACGTAGCTGGTGCCTATCATGCATGCATGTGTATGTGTGCGTGTGTGTATGTGTTCGTGTGTGTATGTGTGCGTGTGTGTGTGAGTGGCTTCCTCTAGGTTCCGTTTCTCCCCTGGCAGGAGCTATCTCCAGAGCACTTCAAGCGGACAAGATCTGTGATTCTGTGGCAGTCGCCAGAATAGTTGGGTCTAGGGTAAGATTTCCAGGGCCAATCCGTTGTATATGGGGCAACAAAATATGAGAGGTGGCCTCAGCTTTCCCTTCTACAATTAGGGTGCTGGTCTGGGAGTATGTGACCCGGAGAATTCCATAGGCTCTCAAAAATCTCTATTGGCCTTGATTCTCCATCAATGATTCTACTGTCCCTTGAGATTTTGGAAATGCCTTCAACCCCAGGGTGGGTCCTCCCAAGCAGAAAGATGTGGGGCTTGGGGCAAAGAGGATTTGGGTGGTGCAGGATGTGGCCGAGCTCAGGATCATTTCTCCAGGGCCAACACAGCCCTTGTTGGAGCCTCAAGTCCCTCAGTGGGTGCAGGACAAGAGTCATTACCCCAGCTACAGAGAGTGACCTGGATGCCTCCAGAGGCTGAAAAAAGAGTGAGACAAGGGAGTCTTCTGAGGTCCCTCTCACTGTTACTAGTGCTTGCAGGTCCTGCTCCTTCATCCCCTTTAGTCCTGGACTCCTAATGTGGACACTCAACACCATGTGAAGATTTTGTTTCTGATTTCCTACCTGGGGCCATAGTGTTTGAGCTGAGCAGGCGAGGATGGCAGAGCCCACTGTGCTCAGTGAAGCAGCTATTGCCAGGGTAAAGCCTCCAAAGGTCATTCCGGGTGTCCTCTTAACTCACATCCACCTGGCACCTCCTGTTGCTAGTGTCCACCCCCACGCTATGAGCTGCCCATGAGTTCCTCTCATGTCTATTCAGCACCTGTACTCTCAGCAGCAACCTCATAGAGGGACAATGTTAGGACCTGAGTGAGGCTCTGAAAAAAAGCTGAAATGGACCCTGCCAGGGGCTCACAGTCTGATGGGAGAGGACAGAAGCACAAAAGGAGAATGGTGTGAAAAAGAGGAGCAAGTGCTATAGGGGAGTGAAGGAGGACACTGTGAGAGGAACTCGAGAGGGGAGTAGGTGAGAGGATCTGGAAGGCCTCAGGGAGAGGACACTTTTCCTGCATCTCAGAGATCCAGCTTTGCACAAGTCTGGGAGCAATGTGTTAGGGGGAGGCACAACTATGCAGAGATACAGAGGCAGAGGCAGGCATGAGTTGAGCCAGAGAGGAGGTTACAAAGGCAGCCAGGGTGGATGCAGAGAATTGTAGGTGAGCTGGGGAACAAGGAATGCGGAGAGGGACAGGCTCTGGGGCCTGGAAGAGAGTGCTACTCATCTATTGTTATGTGATGACATCACTCCTATCCCCAATTCAGCAACTTACAACAGCAGACATTATGTCCCAGTTACTGTGCAGTAGGTTCCAAGCAGAGCTAAGCCTGGTGCCTCTGCCTGGAGGGCTCACGGAAAGCTGGCACTGCTATCTCAACCGAGGCTGCTTAGGCAAGATTCACTTCCAAGCTTATTAGTAAGTTATTGGAAAGATTCAAGCTTGGCTGGAATCTCTTCATTCTGCTTCCATGGCCCTCCCTCAGTTCTTTGTGATTGGGGCCCCTCCACAGAACAGCTCATTATACCTCAGGTTGTTTCCCTAGAGGAAGGTACCAAGGCAGGCGGAGAGGTGAGGAATGTAGGACAGAGACAGACAGAAGTCACCAACTTTGTGTAACTCCTAGGGGAGGGATTGCAGGGGGGCTGTGCACACCAGGAGGTAGGAGTCATAGTAAACCACATGGCGACTGCCCAGTACTTAGGTAAGGGGGAGGAATTTGGGTCTGATTCCAAATACAAAGGGTGGACGTTGTAATATTTAATGCCAGAGGAAGATGATATCTACATTGCAACTCAGGTCAACTCAAATCTAATGCAGACTAGGAAATGAAGCCAAGAAGTGAAGGAAATGAAGCGACTTTCACAAGGTCATGCCGTTCTGCTGACCAGAGCTGTATTTAGTAGTATCCCATGTTGTGTCCCAGCTCATTTCATAATTCAGTTCGTCCATCTCTAAGTCTGTGCATTAGCTGCATTGGTATTAGCTCATGGGTTTATATGCCATATGCCCCATGAGAAGCCAAGAATGAGGATGCTGGAATTATTCCAGTTGAGCAGAGGGGGGACTGGGAAGACTAGGAAAGAAACAAGGACTTTCTCAGGGCCACAGAACTCATAAAAAAAAGGATCCAGGCATGACCATATTTGGTTCCCCTTAGACTAGAGTATGGTGGTTTAACATTAATATAGTTGAATTATCAACTACATACACCTGAGAACATGAGAAGGCAGTAAGGTCCATAATTTGGATGGCAATAATTTTTAAATGATGCAATCTGTTTCTCTTCACAGCAGCACTGTGTGAATTAGAGAAGGGTGGGAATGGACCACCTGTTACGGGACAGGCTGTGTCCACAGATACTGACCTCTGTGCCTTCTCTCTCTTCCTCTCCTCCTCCCTCTTCATTTCCTTCTGGGCATGGGATTTGCAATTCCTTCTCTGTGAAATTCAGGAAGAGGTCATTTGAGGAGTGAACCAGCAGAAAGATCTCTTTCTCTTTCTCTCCTTCTCTATCTCTAAACTCTTTCAAATAAATAAATATTTTTTGAAAGTTCTGCATAACACTCACTACAGCAGCACATTTACTAAAAGGAAAACTCTGCATCGGTTAAGAAATTTTTTCCACCAACATAAATTTATCTTTTACTTCCACTTTTACACATACATATTACACACATACATACACACACTTCTTTCTTCCCCTCCAACTCTGTGAGAAACATTCATAGAGAATTTTGAAGTACAAAAAACTTAACCATGAATTCTCATGGGGGCAGTGAGTTATAAGACAATTTTATATATTTTGTATAATGTAACACTATTTTAATAAAGTATGTGCTTTCATTTTATAATTATCTAAGTACATTAATTGAAGTGATGTGAGGAAGGGAATTCTTATGTTTCCTTGAAAAAGCCAAAATATTGGTATAAAAAGTATTCTCATAAACTTTGTTCATAAATGTTTTTATTGATTATTTATAGAGTCTGAAAATATGCAAGAGTTGAAAATCAAGGTGATTACTATTTAGAAGG